GTCGTTCCAATGGCCCTCGAATTAACTTCAAGAGTCTAACCCACCAAATAAATTGTCCGACCGATTTACAACCTGCGCCGATATTTTTGCAAACTAATTGAATACAATTGCAAATTGGTGTTTTCGATTTGTAAATCGAACGAAGAGCTGTCAAATTGTTTTAGTTTACATTACTGCTTTAATAATATTGAGCCGTGGCAACAACTAGCCGTCAACATAACGCATCTTAACTGTGTAGTTATTATAGGAATATTACTAAATATTGCGTCAATATTTAGTGACGTGGCTAGAATTTTCCGGTTCCCGACACGTTCCCACCCCGTCCGTACCGAAATAATTATCAACGGATAAATCAATACACAAATCAATAAATCAATTTGTGCCATTGAGTTCACTATCTAATGATGATAAATATTTCTCAACAATGTTCTTGTCATTGCTAAGCGTTGGTACTTGCACGTATCTGAACTAAATTAATCTTTTTTTTAGGAAGAACCCAGTCTCTACACTAATCTGACCATAATATTATTGTTAAAATAATTTCCGAAATCGCATAAATCATCCGTGGAGTTTTGATTTTACTTTAAATTATTGCTTAAAATATCATCAAGAATCTGTTGCAAAGTTGAATTTGCACAAGCCAGTTTGCACGTACAATAATAACCGAACGTGTAAACCCACCTTATATTTTTATCTGATTTAACAGTACTTTCTCAATACAGTCAAATGTTTACCTGGCCACTATTATATTTGACAAAATCATTATTTTTTTAGATTCGGAGGAGCTTAGCCAGGAATGTATTGGTTGTACTATGGTGTTTATTTTTTATTTTTTTTTCTTCTGGACGTCTTGTTCCGATGCGCAGATGTCTTCGATAAGTGCAGTATATTTTCTGAATGGCAATTTTATTAAGTTTATTAAGTTTAATCAGTTGATTTTTTGATTTTATAAACAGTTTGCATAATAATCGGGAAAACCAAGAAAAAAAGTAGAAAAAAACGGGACAATTTACCAATTTTACATTTCTTTTTGAATTCTTTTTTTTCAATTTATTTTATGTTCAAAGTTTAATAATATGTGTTTTTAATTTCAATAATTTTAGTTTTACATATCTTTTAATTATTTACAAATATTTACAAATAATTAAAAACATTTCAACGTGGTCAAAAATTTTAGAAATGACTATGGCCAAGTTTCACAGAAGTTAGCCGTGAAATCAATTTTAGCCGATAATTAAAAACGGCTTACAAATTTCATATTTATGCTTACAAATACTTAAAAATGACCAACAAAATTTTGGCGAAATTTGGTTCGAAAATATTGAAGTTGCGCGGCTTATTTTAAGGACTTAAATAATTCAATAATATTGTATTTAGTTTATCAAAAATTAATCCTATTGAGTTATCGATACGTTCCGTAGGAGCGCGCCACTATTATCGTTTGCAATAAAATAATATCTGCAATGGCGACGTGCGAAACACGAAAATGACTACAGTATGATGCACTGTCTTCTATCGTCTATGACTGCGATCGGTTGCGATGAAAAATATTATTTGTTGACAGTGTTCTTTAAAATGCAATTTTACTCATCTGGTGTTTAATCTGATGAAACGCCGGATTGATGGTAGAGGAACACTGTTTTTGTTAAATTTAATTCTGAAATCGGCCAAAATTATTAGGCTGCTGTTATCACAGATTGTATATCAAACCCGTTATCACTCCGAATAATATTTTAACCTTTAAAATCTAAAAGATTTTAAATTTCAAATTCGAACTAAAACGGATACTACAAGTACATTGTTATTATTAAAATCATATATTCGTAATATTAACAAAAGAAAATTAAGAAGTGTAGCTGTGTTTATAAAACACAAAGTTTATCGAATAACAACATTCATAACTACAGTAAACGCGTACTACAAAATTGAAAACTACATAGAGCTAAAGTGTGTGTGCACTGTTATACTGTGTGTGTGTGTGTTAAGTAGAATCGTAGTTCTTTCTTTATTTTTTTTTAATACTGTTAACCCAATTTTCTTTTAGTTTTATTTCGTGCAGTCAATTAGGAAAATTAAATATTTTACGCCTAGTCTTGTGAGTATTGTTTACAACACAGCACATATTTTATCCATAATAATAAATAAAAAAGGCAACCGGAGTGGGGAATCAGATCCCCAAATCATACCCCGTATAAACCTGCATCGCACCAGCATGTAAAGTGTTTTTTCGTCGGAAAGTTCTTTCCTATTATTAATTTACCTTTCCGTGCAAAAAAATAATTTTTTTGTATCAAATCGTTGCATAAACTCAATAAATTTAGTTTATATACTATAAACTAAATTAGAAATGTTATACTCGTTTATCTTACCTTCTAAACTATCCACGTCCTGAAATGTTTTATTGCTAGGTATTAATTAATTTATAATTTTTTTTTATAGTCAAAATGATGGTTTTATACTTATCCGTCAGGACTGCCACCTGGTGATTGGGTGTACCTATTAGAAACTTAAAAACGTAGACAACTTAGAATAAATAAAATTCGTAAAACCACATAGTATATTAAAGATAAAATCATTATTATACAATGATATTATGCAGTTTTAAAGGCATTGTAGAACGTAGGTACCTGACCTTGGTTAACCCAGTGTTACCTACAGCAGAAGAGGGTGTGACATTTTTATGTCGTGTTCATAATATTAAATGTCAAACGTTTTTATTCAGTTATACACGAGTATAAGAATATGTTTGAATATATTCTCGAATTAATTATTGCTGAAAAAAGTGTCGTCCTCTTTTGACGTCGTCGTATTACGACGTTTTCAAAATGAAAATGTTATCATGCGTTTAAAATAATGATTAGCGATGATACCCAATGATTGCGACGAATTGGTCTACAAGTACGCAGTTAATTAACATATTAAACAAAAGAATTATTATCGTGTGGTGCGAACGACTTTTGTAGACTTTAATGTTTTTTTTTTTCCTATGGGCCTAAAATTCTGGCATTCATTACTTTCGGTTTATCTGATTTTTTCGCCGTTTCGATCGCATAAAAAATACGACACGTCAATATAAATTATTTGATATCGATATCGCTATTTTGGAAAAAAAAGTGACTTTTCTGGTTTTTTCCCTTTACTCTTCAAATATCCAACGATAGCTAAATTTTCAGATTCACGATTTATTACATTAAAATCTTACGAATGATGACCCTTCATTTTTTATTTTTATTTTTATTTCATTTTTGAATTACATCAAACATTTTTATAACTATTTTATAAACTTACTCTATAGGTAGATTATAGGTGAACTGACGATGTTTCATCACCAGCTAATGAAATTGATTTTTTTTTATCTTCTATGGTTTTGTGTACATATAGGATGTAATAAAAACTTATAATAATCATTTTATCATAATAAAAATTTGCAACAATAACCGAGAAGCTAAATATTCGATTGAAATTGTTTGAGATATTATTGAAAGATTTTCACATTATTAAAATACACAAACATGTGCGTATGCTCGAGGAACAAACTAATATTTTGTTTGTAATTATAACCGATAAAGAAGAAGGATGCGTAAAAAGAATACAAACAACGTGTCAATTCTACAGACCCCTCAAATGAAATCAGGAAAATGAAATTCTGTATATGTACACGGTGTAAGGTATCGATGGTGTACCTTTTAGGTGTTTTTTTGTAAATTTTAAAAACCCCTCCCCGACCGTTTTCGTATGGAAATTTCACGTTTTCACAGAAAATACGGTTTAAAACGCAGTCTGAAACGTAATAACAACACTCCGACAACCGACGGATGGTGGGAAATTCGACCAGAGAAATAGAATTTTGTTGTTCACGAGTGTTTTTCGTTTTGTTAAAATAATGTGAAAAAAAAAATCAATCGTTAACAATATTTTTATAACAGTTTGTTTTTGTGCGTCGCTATGTATATATATATATATATGTGCATGTGTGTGTGTTTGTGTGTGTGTGTGTGTGTGTGTGTGTACACGCGTAGTTATGTTATAATCGATTGGCGAGCGGAGTTTTAATAATAATAATAATAATAATATTGTTTCAACATAAAATTCATAAAACCCGCGTTTTCAATTCAAACCGACGGCGGAGAAAGTATATATAATTTTTTATTTTTATTTATTTATTCATTTTACTCGCCCTGCCGCCGCCGCCGCCGCCGCCGTCGCTTTTTGTTCGTTTCCCTTCGGGATTCCGCACAATATATATGTATATACATATAACGAATCGTCGTGTTCCGGGGCTAAAAATCGAGAAAGGCAAAACAAAAAAGAACGAATAATAAATAAGAAAACGCGCGCGGTGCGGAGGAGCCCGCGGGGAAATGATGGCCGAAGCAATTAAAACTCTTAAAAAGAAAATCGACCCCTCGCTTAGGGCTACTCCCGCCAGTTTTTAATCACGCAGCAGCAGTCTTCTTTATTTCGTTCGTTCGTTTGTTCCCCCCCCTCCCCCCTCTAATTCTCCCCGCCCGCGCTACTAGGGCTCACCGGGCACCGAATACCTCCGCCGCCGCCGTAGTCGACCAACGGTTTTCCGAATCTTTTTATTTCGTTTTTTTTTTTCTCTCTTTCTTTCTCTCTCTCTCTCTCTCTCTCTCTCTATCTGTATAATAATAATAAAGCAAAAAACGTGAAAAACGTAAAAAAAGGGTCGGAGAGAGACGGCGGCGGCGGTGGCGGGGCGAGTGAGTAGTGATGCGAGGAGCGGGTAAATTACGGAGTAAAAGAATTACACGAAAAACTTCTCTCGCGTCGGTCCAATTTCTAAAACACAACGAGCATAATAATAATAATAATAATAATAATAGTTATAATAATAACAACAACAAAAATGAGAGAAAACTGGAGAACCAGAATTGAACAAAAAAGTAAAATATATATTTCCAAACGAAAATACATCGTATACTTATATTTTATATACATATATAGTGAATTTTCTCGGAAAACAAACTTTTATTATTCGTTGAACTGCGTTTTAATTAAAACGTTCTCTCGTTGTTTTAACCGAGCCAAACATATTATTATTATTATAAATGGTTTTGATTTTTTTTTTATTTCTCTCGTTCTTCAAGTATAATAATAATAATATGTTGAGTACATTGTGTTTCGGAAACATCCACACGTACACAGGTTCGAAGTTACGATGTCTCCCGTCTACCTGAAACACGAACAATAATTCAATAATGTTAGATATTTATCGCAACAAAAATATTAATACACAATAATTGTAGTTAAACCGACCGGACAATAATATTGTAAACGGCTTGTTTTTGGTCGTTTATTTTATTTTTTTTTTATGCACCTGTATTACGTATCGGCGTGGTATTGTATTGTCCAGTCTAACCAATACTATAACTGAATAAATAACGGCCAAGTATAAAAACGTTCAATGGAGAATTATTATTTCCAAATAAAAATATTCCCACGGCCCCGGAAAAAATGGAGATAAAATGTGTTCGTAAATGGCCGTTCTTGTATTTGGTCATACATTTCTCTGGCCATATTATCCTCCGGACACATGATTTTATTTGATCATTTTTTTTTGTGTTTGGCCATGTTTTCCTCGCGTTATTTTGGAACGTGGTCAATTTTGTCGGAACATTTTTACACGGCTATTTTCGATTTTGCCGTTATGATAACTGATTGCCATTATAATATTAGATCCATTGCTTTTGTATGTAATAAATCAGCTTCCATTAAATAGTTAAAAGTATTCCAGACTCAAACTCTATTTTACAGAAAACACTGAACTATTGTATATATTTTCGTCTAATTGATCAGTAAATTATTGGTAAAGTACATATGGTACTGATTTATCCCGACGCCATTCGTTTGCAGTGGTCTACCACAAACTACTATTCGTCGCGAGTAACTTATCATCTCTATAAGTATTATAGAGCAATAAACCTTCTGAAATAGGAAAGTTGGTGGCAGAAAAAAATGCCAGATATCCGGGAAGAAAAATGAATACAAATTGTATATTTTTAGTTTTTTATTTGTGTATGGGAAACGTATTTTAATGTAATAATGAAACGTAAACATATTTAACTGTTCATAATAAATTCAATTATTTTAGAAATAATTTTTTATTTTGCGACCACCACTTTTTTCCGTACAGACGTTTTGGCCCGAGTAATACTACGAGTTTGACACGCCTGTACTATATATGATATACAAATATAATATAATTCATATACTTTATTATATTCGACCTATCGGTCTAATTTTTCGATGAACGATCTTGTGCGTTCCTTAAATCGTAATAATGTTTAATGACGACAACATGACGTATATTTGGCTTTAAAAATAATTTTATTTTGTCGTAATAATTGTTATTTCACTTTGTTTTTTCATTGTCATTGTTAATATTATTATAACGCAAATCGGTTACATTAATTGTTTTGTGCCGTTTTCAAAAGTCGATTGGCGTTTATATACACAGGTACGCAAATAAAATAATGTCTATATTTTTGGTCGTTGCGCGTCGGAAGAGCACATTTTTTCCTTTGCAGACTATACGTTTGGATAAGCGCAGGTATACACAACAAACGCGGACAATCTGCACGATCTAAATTCGTCGTGGTCGGGTATACTGTAGAGTAGATAACACAGAAATAACCGTGCAATATATTTAAACGATTTTGACATATACCCACCGGTTATTATTTATAGTAAGGTTTTTTTTTTTTTTTTATCCGAATCGTAACCGCGGTAAAAGACGGCGCGGGAATAACGACGGCGTATTTTCGAAGATATTCAATTGAAAAAACGTGTACAAATCCAAGAGCTCGTGAATAAAGAATACCAGAACAAAAAAAAAAAATTATAAAAAAAAAAAAACGACTTTCGAGACGATAGCAATAATAATAATCAATGTATGTGTACCTTAAACAATAAAATCTACTCGCGTACGCATCTACTCCTGAAATTCGATTGTCGACGACCGGGTAACAAAAGAATACATATTATCATAGTAACGCGCGCGCTGACATGGCCGAAAGAAAGGAAGTAATTGCTTTTTGCAAAAATATACGAAATTAAGTTACGGTTTTTTATGTCGTAATAATCATTCGGAATACTGCGCTTAATATATACAAGTATACACTGCTAAAAAGTTTTTAAATAGCTTTCATTCGTTCCCTCCACCCGCCGCGACCGTGCTACGTTGGGATCGGTCCAATTCAAAAATTAAATTATCACCGGGAAAATATTGTTTCCAAAGAACCGAAACCGTTTATTATAAATTAATATTTTAAATCGATTATACGACGAGAGTTTCCGAGAGAAGAAAATGATGTTTTGTTGGAAACGTATTGAATTCCAGTTCGCAGAAGTACAATGCGATATGATAAAAAAACCGTCACGTATAACACATTTTCGCGCGGCGGACCACGCGAGATTTCATAAAAAAAAAAATTTCTAAAAACAAAAAATAGGGCTTTTCGATTGGCGCGAAATAGCAATAGCGTACTATTGTGGGCGTTTACCATAAATCGGGGCAGTAGTATTGTTAGGTGAAAAAAAAAAAAAAAAAAATAGAAAAAAAAGAAACGAGAAAGGTCGTCGAACTGAACGCCCGACTGACGACGATTCGTATTCGGCACGCTAACTGTATTTCTTTTCGTCGCCGGTTTATCCGATGGATTTTCGACGAGATCACATACAGTATATTTATACACATGTATAGATTGCCAAATGCCACGCGACACACGCTTTCGGTCGACGGCGGTCGTTTAATTCGAAGCGCGTGTCGTATAAATTTTATTCAACTGTTGCGACCGCGTCTTTTTACCGTTGTCACCGTGACGACCGTCACGGCATTGTCAATAGCGTTACACAGACGCAACGCGCGGCGCAAAAGCCACCAACGACGGGGCTCGCGGGCTTCGGATCAAAATGCGGGAAAATTTATTATGCGTACAGTTGTATACTCGTCATTCCCATCGCCGTCATTCGCGCGATGTCCGTACCGGGAAGCGCGTTTCTCCGTCACTTCGCGGGTGTGGGGGGACGGCGATTGGCGGGAGGGGGGGAGGCGTTGGGAAAACGTGTATATATATATGAAAAAAAAACAAAAAAAAAAAAAAACCCCGAAGTGCGATTCGTCGTCGCGCGGCGGGAGACAGACGACCGCGCGCGTGTGTGTGTCAAAAGGAGATGGGATGAGGGGCGATGGGAAGGGTTTACCGCGAAGATCGGCCGACGGAACAATGGGACAACGCTACGCGCGCGTACAGTCGGGCGCGGTGTCTAATAATACGTAATACGTAATAATAATAATAATAATAATAACATTAACGGTACGCTCAGTGCTGCGGTTGCACCGGGCGCAGACACACCGCGCTCGGTTTTTGCGCCGCTCGGCGTTCGTAACGTTCGCACGGGTATATTATTATTATTATTATTATTGTTGTTGTTATATTCCTTATGACGCGCTCGTCCGCTCGCCCGGGAGGGGTGGGGGGGAGAGAGAGAGAGAGTGTGAGAGAGAGGGAGTGAGGGGGGGGAGAAATAATACTTTCGCGGTGTACAATGGTCGTCCCGCCACCGCGGACCAGGGCGGGAACGGGAAGTATAAAATATTTTACGTACACGCATATATTTCAACAATACGATAACAATAAGAGTACACTCGTTCGTATGTGTACCGCAACCGCCGCCGCCGCCGACGCGCTTACGTCTTCCCGTCTCCCGGCGGTGTCGCGCGTATATAATCTCGGCGCTGCGATGATTCTTAAACGACTCCCCTTTTTTTCCTTTTTTTTTTTTTTTTTAATTCCGGCCCCGCTCCTCGTGCGCGGAGGTGTTTACTAAACGTTCCCCCTCCGCGTCTCGTCGATTCTCCCCGTTTGCTCGCGCCTTAGTTTTTTTCTCTCGACCGCACTTTGATCTGCTCACCCTCCTCCCTCCCTCCCGTCCATCCGGCACGCGCCGACCGCGGGGAAGTCCGCCGCCGCCGTCGTCGCCCGTATGTTTTCCTACCCGAGGACCGTTTCTCAATAACACATATTACGTTTTCGCGTAATATACGGCGGCGCGGGCGAGGCGTCGTAAGTCGACGTTTCTTTCCCTATAGTCGCCGTCGGCAAAATCCTTGGACGTTTTTCGATTTCGAAACGTCCGCAGTTCCGGCTGAACGTCAAGTTTTTCCTTTTTTTTTTTTTTTTTATCAGAGCGCAGTTTTCCGCTATAACACCGCCAGTCGTCCGCAATCAGCGCGAAACATTCGCTAGAACGGCCGTTTAAAAGTTTACGTTTCATCGTTGTTAAAGATATTAATGATATTATATTATTATAATGCGTTACGGTCAAAGTAGAAATCGGGACGGTGTGACACAATGCTCGAAGACAGTGTACAGGTACACTGACCGGGACATTGTGAATCTAAACGGACAGAGGCGATAAAATATTGAAAATAAAATAGTGGAATATTAAAGATATTTGTATAAATATAAAAATCTTGCATTTTATATTATGCAGTTATTTTTACAAACTATAAGTAGGTAGTATACATAAGTGTTACGAGCATCATTATAGTAGGTGCGTACTAAATATTTAAGTAAACCAATAAACTTAGTTGGACAGTTTCAGACTAGAATGCATTAATTTTTCTATAATGTGTTTTTTTGTTTCCGCAAACAACTTTCCTATAAGAAATCCTGCACAAATTAAAAATGTATAGACAATTTTTTGTAGAATTTTCGATCTATAGTTGGAGTGTTGAGGAGAGTGTTTTTTGATTTACTTTAAAAATGAGAAAAACTGGCAATTTGTTGTTGATTGTATGCGTTTTTCGTGACCTAGAAATGGTTAATTGATACATATAGATATAAATTAAACTAATCTATACATTTTTCATTTTAACTTTCCTTATAGAACAGTTGCACACCCGTTAGCAGTATCAGTCTGTTTTATTTTTTGCGAACATTTACAACGAAAAAACCGAAATTATTTTAAATTTAAATCCACCCGAACGCTACAACAGAGCGCACATTGAAATATTAGTGTATAATATGTTTTATACAATTTATTATATAGGTATTAAGGTTCGCTTAATTACATTTTTGAAAACTGTTTAACCCGAACACGCATTTTTGTAGTATCACGGGGTTTTTAAATTACGCTTGTTATACATATTTTTATAGTGGTTTCGTTTTCATCCCCTCTCCATTAGTATGGCCGTTCTCGGTATGGCAATTATAATTTTATTTTGGTTAAATAAAACGTACACACAAAAAAAAAAAAAGTAAAAATTATAATAATTGAACCTTTTTAGCCGTTATATAACATCCATGTATACATATATATATTTACATTTTAAGTGTATTTTTATTGTAATTTTACATTTTAATCCGATAAATAAAAAAAAATATTATTTCAAATTCAGAGTATAGGTAGGTAGTTATTGCTTATTTACATTTTTTTCCAATTACTATCGATTAATTAATCAATTATAATTTATAATTATAAATCAATACCATAGAATATTGACAATAATAATTGTACTTTTTGCTTATTAAAACGATCTGTTTAATTAAAATAATGCCGAGATAAATGTTTGAGTATTTTCCGGTTCGAAAATAATAAAATATATCAAGCCTGTACTGAAATAATACTTTGAAATCCTAACGAAAACTTAAAACCGTATACCTTACCTACTTTTATTATTCGACAGTTATAAATGTAGCTTAAACAAAATAAATAAATCTATGCTCAGACAGAAATATTTTATAATATATATGGTATAAGTGAGATTACCTATAGTTATTGGTTGTTTCGTGATATTTTAACAATTTGTCTACCAGATATTTCCTCCGATATTTTAGCATTCTTTTTAAAGGAATTTTATCTAATTTATTTATTGGAGATTACTAATTTTACATCTAGTTTTCTTACTGGGAACAAAACGTAAGAAAAAGAAGAAATTTACAATAATTATAATGGTTTCATCAATTTCAATTTGCATTAGTTCTATTATGATGTGAGCTTTTAGATTCTGAGTGCAGTGAGGAAAATATAAGAAGTTCTAATGCGTGTGTTTAAAAAAAAAATACAAAATAGGTTTTTGTAGCAATTTTGTATTTAGTTGGTGCACCGAGAAAGTAATTTCACGGTTTTCCTGTAGTTTTTACAATAATTGTGAAAAACTGGAAAGTTTACGACAACAGAAGTTTCTACATTTTCGATTAATATCTTTTAATAATTTAATTTCTTAAAAATAAGGTTTTTTAAAATGTTATTCGGTTAAAAATAATTGTAGTAAGCTGATATTTCCACAAATTACATAAATTAGCCTTTTTTTTTTTTTTTCATATTTCCAAAAAAACTGGACATTTTTGAGTTACTTGTAGGTATTCGGTATTTCGCAACTTTAAAATTTTAGATTCTATACGATTACGTACGAGTATACCTATACTATTATTATTATTTTTACATTTTAATAGCTGTAATGGTTCAATACAGTGTAGGTTCGTGCAGTGTAAACGATGAGGGCGAAACGATGAGCTAAATCCCTCATGACATCGGCTAATCACCGTATCTTGTTTGTGTCAGTTACGTACCTTTTAATTTGTTTATAAAACCTTAAATTATTGTAAACGTGCTATAACACGTTTTCGCCGTCCAACACGAGTAATGTAATAGCATAAAGCTTTTGATTACACGAAATACCACGTACACTTATAACGTTTTAAAAACACTGTTAAAATGTAATTTTGATGGTTAAATTATACGTTTTATCGGCAGGACATAACGCGTGCGGTATGATAATTAATATAACCATCATGCTAGAAAATATTACACTATACGTTTATGACCATTTAAATTGGCATATTTTCTTGTACTTTTGGCCCCAGTAGCGTATTTAGAGGGGGGGGGGGGAGACAGCCGTATGCCGTAGCCTTCACCCCCGAAATTTCTTTACAGATTGACAAATTTCAAGTGAAATTCATAAAACCGGTCGCATATATATTTTTTGTCGTTCTGACAATAATGTAAATTAAATCATGTTTTTATTAATTAAATATTTGTTTTGGTTTTATTTTGAACGGTTCACATGTACCAATAATGAATTTACCGCATAATCAGTTTCCTTCGGTTTGTCTGATTTTTTCGTTTTTTTTTTTCGATAAAACATATTAGTGTAAGTATTGACAAAAATATCTTTACCACTCTTCAGTTCCCACAAACAGTCCCGACAAACGCATTTATAAACGGCGCCACTGTTCCAGTTGACAGCAATATGTTTACATTTCTGTACTTATTATGATTGAACTAATTATCGATTATCAATATTAGGGACTAATCTATAGTTTTTACATACCTAACCTATACTTAATATTTACTGGCATTCTAATCGAAATACTTGGTTTAACATATTTCACTCATACGATTGTTTTATTTGTATACAACATTATAAACCCTTAGTTTTTAAAACCACTGTCCTTGAAGCTCCAGAATATTTTTTATACGCCTCACTGGTTGGTCTAATACGCTTTGCCATTTTTGCTCCACACGTTTACATGATAAACAATAGTAATAAATGCAGGGCTTAATAATTATATTTACATATTTGGTAAAGGTCCAATATATAGTTTAACTTGCCGTTTTTTGTTGTAATTTTATATCGTTTATCATACAACAGTAATCGGTTAATATCGATAATATTATAGCCGATAAGATCGCGAAAAAATCTCGGATAATCAGGATAATCAGTGGCCCAGAAAATTGCAAATCGGAATTATTTAAAACGTAAAATTATCACAAATATGAAATAATTATTAAAAACCAAAACGGTGGGTATTGTATAATTCAAAATTTTTTTTTTTTTTTCAAAACCCTTTTCCTCGACATTTTTTCCGCCCTCCGGCAGCCAATAACGGATTAACACAAACGACTTAATAATACGATTACGGACGTGTCAGCAAAAGTTTTATCGATGTGACGTGACGAATTCGCGGGCACATAGCCGATACGCGCCTTTGTGCGCGGTTTCCCTTTTATTACGCAAATAATTATAACTGCAGAGCTAAACGAATTTATACTGCGACATTATGGCGTGTTCAAACTTGTTAGTCATTGCTGCATTATTGTTGGTTCGTTCCGTATAGCGGACGTCAATATTGATTAAAAAAAAAAAAAAAAATGAAATAATGATTATAAATTATTTTTACTTTTTTCTAAACAACACAGTAAAACCAATGCGTTCCTTGTTCAGAATCTACGGGGAAAAAAAAATACATCATATAGTACAACCTACGCCGTGTTATTATTATTCTTAGCCACACACGTTCGGAATCTATAAAAAGAGAAAAAACACGCAAAATCGCAATAAATAAATAAAAAATGCCGAGAGCGAAAAATTATTCAACTCCCTATATAGAACGTACACGACGACGACGACGACGACGGCGACGTCGTCGTCAAAATGGAAAAAGACAACACTTCCTTCCGCCGAATCGATAAAATTGAAAGATTTCATGGAAATGCAACGGCGACGGGGGCAGAGAGGGGGCAGAGGAGAGGGTTAAAAAGAAAAACGGCGGTGCGATATGAAAAACGGCGGCGGCGGCGGCGGCGGAATCGTCGTCGTGTTGTGTATAGCCGCCGCCCGTCAAGACCAACAGCCATGGCGGGCGGAGAGGCGGATCGGCGGGGGTGGCGGCAGGGGTGGTTTCTGTTTTAATGGAACCCTCCTCTCCGGGATCGCACCCCTCCCTCCCGCGCCCCGTACACCGCTGTCCGCTAACCGCCCGCGCGTACATACGAAAAGAAGGTGGGTCGGTAAAAATTTAATCTTCTCTTCGGCCGGTTCGCCTCCACCCCCGGCCCGCCGCCGCGCCGACAACGGTGCCGCCGCCGCCGCCGCCACCGGCCAACGTCTCTGCGCGCGTATTTTTTTTTTTCCCCCTCGCCCACTGTTCCCGCGGCGCGGCGTGTTGCACCGCCACCCCGTTCCCTCCTCCCCCCCCTACATCCGCACCATCATCAAAAAACCGTTTCGTATTTATAAAATGTATATATTTTATATATATACAAAGAGTTATATATATCGGTCCCCTTTTTTTCCACTTCCCGTCCTGTAAGTAAGGGTTTTTTTTTTCTCCCGGTCCGCCCCCGTTTCGAAATCTCCGTTAAGTAAGAATAATGGCGACCGTTTTTTTATCATTACCCCCGCCGCACCGTCCCTGTTCCGCTATACACGCGCGCGCACACGCACACACACACACTCTAAACGAAACTAATTCCGAAACAATAATTACATCTTTTCCTCGTAAATTGACGCGCCGTCGCCGTCGTTGTACGGACGCGCGATCATTCAGACGTTTCCGCGCTCATAATCGTGTCCGGTTTGATAAATCGTACGCCAATGATCGATACACAGGAATTTCGTGTAAAACGGATTCTGGATTGGTTATTGGTCATTTTATTGGTAAAATCGAATCGCGTTTACGAAATTTGCAACATTTTACCGTTATTCCGTGTACGCGTATTATCGAGTTATTGATACTCATAATTTATTGCCGTTTAAGATTTATTGTCATCGCACTGTTTAAATAATTTATACCAGAGGAGTATATTAGAGAGTATAAGGTGGTTATTATTTTTTCGTCGAATCTGTATTGAAAAGCTGGGAATCGCAATTTGAAAATCAATAGATCACACTCATACTTTGAGGTATAAGAAATGGGAAGTAGGGAATTTGAAAATAATGTTGAAATATGCGATGAGATTAACCAATTCCGTAAAATGAAAAAACAAAAAACCGAAATTAAATTTACTTAAAATCCTAGGAGAAAATCGCTGGATTACGATTAAAATGTTTTAAAAACTTTTTGGTGGTCTTAAACGTATAAATGTCGATAATTCGACGTGGAGTCGTCGGCCGGCCATCGACGATCGAACGGCGTCGGTTCTCATAAAAATTATTGTGAAATAACCATTCTGGCCTCTGACACGGATAATCTATACTGTAATTAGTTAACTTTGGTCTTTAAATTAAATTTTTAATCGATTTATCATGATGGGGCGATGTCTGTTCAGATTTTTCGTGGTAGAAATTAAAATTTAACAGGTGGTTTACGAACGGTTATAACAATATATAAACTACTTACTCGAGTTACCTTGTTATTTTACGAGGTTTTCTAATTGAAATATATAATCACGGATAAAAATAAATAATAATTATTTATTAAATTTTAATCAGTTACTCATTTTATAATAATCATATTTTTACATATTAAAACCGACGAATTAATAAATAGCTATTCAATTAACTAACGCAACATTATAAAAATCGGTTTCGAAGTCGTTAGTCACGAAAGAAAAGAAAAATATACGTTTGAATCTTAATAGCCTTGGTGTAGTTTCATTTTAAACTATTGACTTCAGTTCATTACGTATGGAAATACCTTAATAAATTTATATATTTGTATTTACGTAAGATGTTGCAACAAAATAAATTATTGAATTATATTACAATAGGTCAGAAATACCTCTCGTTATACAGGAACAAGGGCTAAATTAATTTTTAAACTTGCGTTACCATGTTTCTATCATTAAGTTAAACGATTCAAAGTTATATCGAGTTAGGGTTAAATTTCAATGTATGACCCGAACAATAATCGTCCGATTCATACTACGTATCAATGTTACATTTTAAATACTAATATTTCTATATTCACTTACTATACATAGCATCTGTAGTTAAATTATTTTCATGTGCAGCTTTAACGTTTTGACATTTTACACTCGAGTTCCATAAGAATAGTAAAATAATTCAGGATTAGATATGTCTCAAGTTACGGTTTGTTCAGACGTTTCGATTCATAAACATCATACTATGCAGTATTCATATTATTGTATAAATCAAAAAAATTGACTTCACCGTCAGAAAAAGTTGTTGATAAACAACAAACCAAACCTTAACTTGTCTGTAATAAGTGCCGTGTAATTAAAATAGTTATAATTTCTCCGCGGAATCAATTTAAAGTTTAAACCGTTCAAATTGTTATGCGATTTTATCATTTAATTGCGTGTAGGAAAATTTAAAATCCAATACTTCTCATCGGGTCAAATATTTCGCTTTAATTTATATATTGTAACTTTTTTTTTCTACCTCGATTAATATCTTAACTCGATTTAAAATTAATGAAAATTATTATCTATGCACGACTTGGACACCGCTAAACTTCTATATAAATTTAAATTATTTTTAAAATAAATAACAAGACAAATAGTTCGTTAATTGTTAATGGCTTCAATTTTGCAGACAATATAGTGATGCTATTTACTTAAATTAAAAATGCACGAGAAAACCCTGGAATTATGTGGTTAATTATTTACTGAAAAATAATAACAATAATTTTCTATAGAATTAAATAAATATATGCTTTTTGGAAAAGTATACCTATAATATTCAATTGATATTTTTTATAATTGACCCCAAATAGGTAATAGGTGAATAGATGTATTCGTGTAATATGCGAATTATGTTGATGGTTTAAAAATACTAATTTTAGTTTCGTGAAGTTAGAGTGTTAATTGTGAGTAACTAATATAATAAAAAATAGTTATCATTTCAGTCGACGAATTCAAAATTTATTAACGACTTAAAACAGAATCTATGAAATACAGGTATCCAGTCGCGCAACCAGGATTCATTTTCGGGAGGGGTTATGAATTTCTAGATAAGATAGGATTTTTCATAGGATACTAAATATTAGGCCACTTGCAAGCCGTACAAATATTTAAAGTAATAATAACTTTGCCTCCTCCTTGACTGCGCCACTTAATATTCCTTACTTTTTTCTCATTATATGTATTGAGACTATTTTAGTTTTTTTTTTAATATAATATTTTCTAATTTAATTTTCCTAGTACTTACTATTATATTGTACATAGTTTTCATCTTGACTTTTAGCTTTATAAACTTTAAAGTTAATCAAATTAAAAGATCGTTTACTGTTTATTGATTTTTATAATTCGAATAAATGTTAAATAGTGTTTCTTTCAAGTTCTTATATATAGCTAGATATATAATAGGTACACAATTCTGAGTGAATATATATATATATATAGTGCGGCGGGCCCATTGAAAGGTATGTTAATTAAAACTTTTTTTAATTTCTTTCTAAATGTTCGAAAAAGTAATTTGAACTCTTTTGATACTCGCGGGCTTACCGACTCTTCCATCACCGGGTGGAAAATTATTAATTTTCCCATAACGATAAAAATAACTCGATAACGGACTAATTTATAATTTTAAGTATTACCTATATTATTATTATTATTATTATTATTATTAATGATTTAATTAAAATATACGTCATCACAAAACTAATTAAAAATAAACATACGGATTTTGGTATTGTTTGTTCTCGAACAACCGTTATAGACGGGGATTTATAATAATTATATATTATATTTTACTTTGGCATTTAAATATTTATTTTACAGTTTAAATAATAATATTTTTTGTGTTGATTGGGACGATTTAATGCGGTCGGCGCGCGGTGGTGGAAATCGTTATTCCGACATTGCCAATGACCAATCACCACCGGTCGGTACCTATATATACCCTTGGAATAAAATTTAGGAATAAAGCCAGCAATAGATTAAAAGCAATAATTTCGATTGTCGGTATGCAAATAATTCGGGCTAGTATTTGGACATTTTAAACACTCTGACAGTATAATTTATTTTAGTCACCCGAAATTGTTTTTTTTTTCAAAATTCAAGATAATATAAAATATATTTTTATTGAAAAAATAATCAAAATTATTACCAGTGCTCATTTTTTTTTTTTAAATATGTATTTAAACTGCTTCAATACACCGAATGACCGAATCTTGAACTGTTTGGAAAAACTTCAGTTCACACCTTCACTGATAAGCGGTCTACTAAATTATATTATTATTTATTACGTATAATTTTTTCATACTTAAATGTAATGTAATGACAACTAAAATAATGTATAACTAATTATTTAAATGCCTACATTTCTAATGGTCTATGATTTGCATACTATAATACTATATCTATTTTGGCAAAAGGCTAGTTTAAAATACATGTTTATAATTGTACATTTTATTAAGTACCTTGCATACTTATAGTTCTATAAATGATGATTTAGATGTTATGAACGATAATATTGTTTTAGTTTTGGACTTTTGATAAGTATTTAGTTAATGTACAGATATCTGAAGGTTATAATGCAATGGAGCACAGACTTTATACTCTTTTGGTCACCTAAAATTTCCATTTCCAATTTTATCATTTATGAAATAAGAGAAAAAATGGGCAGCGATTATTTTTGAGATTGATTCATATAGCGAACCCGGATGCAATTAAAGTGAAAAAATAACTATTTATCCGAATAAAAAAAGAGACTCAAAATAGATACATTAATACAGATTTTCTGAATTATACATCCAAATTATTCGACTACAAAAATAGTAGATATTTTTGAAAATAGGCGTGTTCGAAAATAGTTATTATGTTTGGTGACAATACAAGTTCTGAAATCACACATTGTTGCTCTATCCTTTCGAAAGTCAACTCGAAAGATCAGTCATAAATTCACCCTATTAAATACCACGAAAGGTGGGATTTTTACCGCGGGTACGACTATATAGTATATTGATTGCATTACTGATTGTACGTATACACTAATATAAATTCATTACCGCCTTAATGGACTACACAAACTGCCGTCGTCCCGGGCCAGACAAGGTGTCCAAGTACTCGATATATATATATTTAATGGTATTGTTATCGCAGTATAATATCGCTGCAATATTTTTATTGGAATGTTATAGAATAATGATTGGAAGCGAATAAAACTGGGCGAGTGAAATCGTTATTACGGATATAGTAATTAAAGTGCGTACAGGCATATATTTTCGCGAGACGATTGCGCGTTTCCGCGGCGTGTTTCTCGTCGATGCTCGTATAATATAAGTACACCGCTCGAAAAAACACACGAGTACTTGCAAATGTCTCATCCGGCTGGCGGCAGGACTGACAGAAGGGAATCGTGAGGTTTTAATATTCGTTTTTCAATTGACCGTGCTATCTATAGAATATTCCATATTATATCTGCAGCGGTGTACGAGGTAAAGTTGCGCCGCGCCGACGGACGGACGGGCAGGAATTGACTATACGATACTACACACAAATGGAATACGATCAATTATTTTGCCCGCTCGAAAGATAAATGTATACAGTAGCTGTAAGTATCGGAAAAACTGGCGATAGTGGCGAGAAGACGAGTGGACGGCGATCGGATGTGATGGGGACGGGAACAAAGAGAGGAGAAGCGCTCGAAGACGTTTGCCTTACGGGCGCTCGGGTAGGAAGCTGTACGAGGAGGGGGACGGCGGGTGCACGCGGATAGCGGTGGCAAGATGATTTTTCGTTCTCGTTACAAATTAAAATAATTAAAACTGAACCTACGGGAGTGGAAAAAATGGAAGAAAATTATCGCCAAACGCGAATTCGGTTGCCATAGTGATTAATGGCCGACGGGGTCGAACGCTATACAGAATATATATATATGTTATAATGTTTTATATATATATAATAATATAACAACGACCGATTGAAAAAAAACAAATAGAACGGAAAGTTCGGTTGCAGAGAGAGAACGTTTTCGGTATTATTTGTGCCATTTCTATTTTAATATTATTATTGGTGTGAGTTTTTGGCTCGTTTGTCTATTATAAGTACCTAATATTATAGACAGAATCGATTACTCGCATTGGCGCATTTAGAGGGATGACGAAAAAGGTGGCGAAATTTCAACGATTCTAGGTGGTAATTTCTAGAGTAAAGAATCATCGGCGGTTTAAAAAAAAAAATAAAACAAATGTTTAAATGTTTTCGCACTCGTGTAATTGGGAAGGAGTTGAGGTATAAATTGTTTTGCCCTGGTCCGTAAAAATCTTAGACGCGCCACTGGTTTCCCGGTCGTGTCGATATACTTGCTGCAGCAAAAGCGTATTTCGTGTTTTGCGCCGGAAATCGAACAACGTCGGTGTTAAACTAAAGACATGATAATTATATTATGGTAAGCTCATTTAAATATATAGGCACGGACGACGACAAACAAGACAACTTGGCTGTATCATATTATGCTTGATGGGTACTCACATGGTATACACTCGAAAGACGAAAACATCGTCGAGAAGACTCGAGGTCGCTGCGGGGTGTCGGGAAAAGCTTCAAAAACGATACGTAGGTATGAGCGGAGTCGGCGGGACGTCCGCGCGATAAGGGGCTGTAACATCGTATAAAAAAAAAAAACAAAAACAAAACACGATTCCGTACTTTAGCCGATTTTTGTCGGCTATTTTGTAAGATTTGCAAACGAACAAGACGTATTCCGCATACCCGCAAACGGCGTTCCGACACCGTTCCCGAACGCGATCGGATTCCGGCAACGACTGACGGACAAGATATCCCTTCCGGTACCCCCCGGTCCTTTGCGGCAGGTATATAGGACAACGCGGACACATAGAGACGTCGGTCCGAACGAAATCCGGTTATCTATTGTTTTTGCGCCCGTTTAATTAAAGTGTGTGTGTGTGTGTGTGTGTGTGTGTGTATATGTTTATTACACTCTCGACGGGAACCCGGACGACTATACCGGGAGACCCCTCGGCGCGGGGCGACGTTGCACCTGGCCGTTCAGAGGTCAGCTCTCCGCGGGCACTGTTTGCTAACAACGGCCGCGAGGGGTTCTTTTTGTTTTTTATGATGTTTAGGCGTTCGGTCCGCTTTTATCGCGTCCACAAAGGAGTCGGGGCCGTCCGGAGTTTCTGGATCGCCGTCGTCGTCGGCCGTGTGAAAACAACACAATATTATTGTATTGACGCATTATTACGAGACCGCTATTCGTACTGTACGCGCATCTATGCGCGCATAACAGTGCGACGGACAATAACGGTAGGTACCGTTTTTACTAACGTGTTATTATTATCTACCGGCCCCCCCCCCGTTCGTTGGTTGTCTCGAGAAAACGCGGTCTTCGACGCAGTGACGCGTATATAATTTGGAAAAAAAAAAAATGACTAATTTAACGATTAGGTCGGTTTAAAGTGTAAACGACGCGGTAAATTTTACCGGTCCGCGCGCATTAAAATTTTTTCGCGCGTGAAACTCGACGACTCGTCACCGCGAAAATATCGAGTATTCCTGACGATATCCCCACAACGTTTGATATTAGTTAAATGTATACGTTGATTGATGTTAGAATAAACAGTTGTTGGTGTATAGTGAGGTTTGTTTCGGGTATCATAATAATACGAATGGTTTCTAAACAGTCGCGCTCGCCATTGTCTGCGACAGTGAACAAAAAAAAAAAAAAAGGTTGAAAATGTACATTTTGTTTTTGAAATTCGTGTTATGTGCAGAGCCAATCAAAAAATGAATGTTTCTCAAAACTTTATTACGAATCTTCAATTCAAGAGAAATTTCTAAAATCTAAAAATCATAATGCGTTTGACTTTAATACGGCCGATTTGGAGCTGTGGGGAGCTGAATCATGGCATCTGAGAAAAACCGACTAATGAAAGACGATGGTGTTTTACAAAAAGCTCAGGAAGCGACGAACGTATTGGTTTTACAATAATGTGTTTTGTTTTTTGTGACCACGAACAAATTATCTACCAGAAATCTCGTTTCAATCTAAAACTTTATAGGAACTTTCTTGCAGAATTGTTGATTTGGCTGGTGTATCGAGAGTGGTAAATTTTTATTTTCCCAGTACCTAGTTAATAAATGGAAAAAAACTGGTAATTTTTTGTATAATTTTTGTTGATTTATGGGTTATCTTAGCAATAGATCTTGGCTTAGAATCATTTTCAGATAACAATGGTTTATCTCCGCGTACAGATATATTCAAATTACTCTGTATAATGTCCTCACAACCGACTTCGTTCTTAAAGCAGTGACAGTATTAGCCATTTTTTTCATTCATTATGTATTATAATCAAGCGGACTAGTATAATTGTACGTGCGTACACGACGGCGGCGGCGGCGGCGGATGTAAAATATTATATGTAATACGATCTGTGCAAAATCTTCGTTTAAAATATTATTATCATTTTGGATGATTGGCCGAGATTATTATGACGCGGCGACGATCCGGGGAGATAAAACGAGTTTTTAGTCGTGTATACTTACAATCGAATTAGCGCAGTAAAATTTCAGAAATTGATGTGAAACAAACTCGTATAATTGAATAGCGCCACCGGGTATTAAAATTCTGAATAATAATTTCGTTCGCTCTTTTAATTTGGTTTTCTTAGACATATATTACTATGTACTATACGTATAGACGGAAAACGGCGAGGGGGTGCATTTATTATTATATATGTCGCGTTCGACGACTGTGATTGGATTACGCGCTGCACTCGTTTCAATCGAAAATGCTTTCTTAGAAGACGTCTCTTCGCGCTACTACATAATATTGTACATCCGACCCGACACCCTAATAAAAACACAATCTAACTTCGTTACGGAACCGTTGTGTGTGTCGAAATTCGGTTATCGGACGTGTATACCGGCCGGTTCTGCGCTCCGATATAACGCGCAGCCTTACAGCCAATATAATAAGTTTTGCGCGATACGACGACGGCGTTAAGTTTCGAGGAAAAATACGCGCGGAAAGCGATTGGTTTTTTCATACATCAAGACGAATAAGCCGGAGTCAAACAAACATACTTTCGGTATAGTTTTTCCGTTTTTTTTCCGTGTTGAAAAATGATTAGACTTGGCGTGTACACGTCTTTTCTGTGCGTTTTGTAGAAGAAATATTTTCATATTTTTTTTTTTTTTTTTGTCACACTCTTAAGTACGAGTTTGTTTTAAGAATAAAAAGAAAACTAAATCGACGAAATGAAAAAAAAAAAAAAAACCGAAAAAACGTTTCCTAAAACCTTAGACTAGAAATCAATATATTTAAATATGCTTTCAATATTAAATTTGGATGAACGGTAGTGGGTTGTTAGAGTCCAACTTATTGGTTTAAAAGGTCATATTCGTCCGTGAAAACGGCCGTATCCTTTCCCCTTAAATAATTATCGGGCAGTAGTAGATTAGTGGTAAAGTCGTATCATTAGGTGGTTATTAAAACGTAGAAAATAATTTTCAAATTGTACACAATTAATTGAAAATGTCACAGCTTATTCTTCTAGTTTACGGATTCAGACACGAGAATTAAATGTTATAATATTTGACGTGCGACGACGCAATTATAATTTTGTCAGAAATAATGGTCTAGATAAAGCACGCTGCACGAAAAAATAACGGGCTATAGTGACCTTTAGATATACGTAAACTTTCGAAAGTCGCAGTCGGTGTATTGTAAAAACAAAAACAAATTTCAACTCGATAACTTAATGTTTTATAATTTACGCGTAATATATTAACGAATATTCTATCCATATTATGTAGCAGGTTGTGTTCAATAACTAAACTTGACATGTTATACCGAAAGTGGTAAGAATCCGCATGTGCTGTCGCCGTCATTTCTAATTGCAAAAAAATTCTTACGCAGATAAAGTATAAAATTCGATTCATTTTGGCTTTTGAATAAAAGCACGTGTTATAAAATGCTTTTACTTTTTGAAATTCATTTTTTTGAAAATGTACAATCATTTGAAAATGTTGACTCGTTATTTCTGAACGATCTATTAAGCGTGATGCTCATACGAACAATGAAAAAAAAAAACACTTTATCTTGCACTCCGAAATAATTTAAATTTATAACCTTTATTTTTATTTCAGTCATTTAAAAAAAATTAACACAATTATAACTTTTTTATATGGACATTTTTTTTTAGAAAATACTTCTAAGGGTTCTCGAAAATATTTTCCTCTTTAAATTTTGATTTTGTGTTTAAAATCTAATTTTAATTTACACGTCACATTTTATGTTTTAAAAGTAACGTAATTTTTAATATGTCATGCGTTAGTAAGAAGGAGACAGCACACACACACGGGTATGGCACCCTCTTAACATCCTACACGCAGGGGCAAAATAAAATTAAAAATCGCAATCAACGATATTATAATAATATGTAATTTGCAAGTTTATGCATGATTTATTTTAGTTTGATAACCGATTAGCTACAAAAATCAATGTTGGAATAATTAAACTACATTTCATTTTAGACTCTGAGCGAAATGAGGATTGCATTGCTTTCAAATGTGTTCTTTCCTTTTCCTTTTTATAGTTTGTTAACAATTTTTCTACCAGATATCTTAATCCAATTAAAAAAATTCTATAGAAACTTTCTTGTATAATTTCTAATCTAAATTGTGTACCTATTGACGACGGAATTTTATGATATTTTCTTGTAGTTATCTTTATAAATTAGAAAAACTGGCAATTTGTTGTACAATTTTTATTGAATTCTGCAAGGTTACTTCGGCAACCCGGGAAAAATTACGACTAATACTACTCTGCTCAGAATCGATTTTCGTTAGAAATGATTTACCGTCGTGTGAAAATATAAATTTAAAATTATACTCTGTATAATATATCCTCCCTTTCAACTTTTTCCCTAAAATAGTAGCACACCCATTAGCAGCAGTATCTGCAGTATTTTATTAAATAAAATATAACTATAGTGGTTAATTTTAGTGTATATACGTTCCCCCCTCTCTTCCTTCCACGGAAATTAACTACGGATATAATTAATTAATAATCGTGTATTATTTAATATATGTAACCTCAACCTTACTTTTCCATATTTAACGAATCGGGTAAAGTTCTTGGGACGTTATATGGTTTACCACAATTTATTACTATTATCCTGCTTATTATAATATGTTTTAATACAATAAAATTGCAGCTTATATGCTATACTCGTATTATGTATTGAATAATATCGTATGACCGAGTCATTGAAGTGTACAGTAACGATTTGAGATTATTAAGTTTAAAATAAATTCGAATTTAAATTATTGTCGTCGAAAAATAATAAAACTCTATGGAAACTCGTAAAATTGTATTTTTCTACTTAATTATAATATTCGCCACGTGTAAAATAAGGGCATCGTTTCTGATGCACCTACCTAAATCACGTCACATCGATTACATCAACGAACTGCTCAGTAAATTATCTTCAATCGGTCGTTTTTAATTATTTCATTCAACGGGGGCTACTTGAATATTAAACGATCGCCGAACTGCCCGAAAATAATACTATTACGTTTTTTGCAAAAATTATATAAGTTGTTGTTATTATTAGTTGGGAAAAAAAGTATACGACGAAGAATTTACACGAGACATACATACTTACTTTCATTATGATTTTTTTTTTATTTTAAATACGATTCGTCCTTACTAAAGCCGAGTACAAGTTTATAAAACAACCTGTGCATTTATGTTTTATACCGTTTACGCTCTCGGTAAAAAGTATTCGCGTTTGT